TATTTGATAAGCGCATGGAATGTATCTTGACTAAGTCCACGCACCACCATATAGGAGTCCATCGACCTGTACTCATAAACGTGTTGGGGTCTCCATCTACAGCTCTATGTGAACCATATTTCTCGTCATTTTGTTGATAAGTGTCACTCTGGGCTGTTGGTTTGTCTTTCTCGATATCATCTGAGGAGATAAAATAAAAATCATAATGGCGTATTCTTAGTAGAATTGTTTTTTTGATATAATAGCCCTATAACAAAAATGTTAGAAAAGAAATCATAATCACATATAAAAATAATGCTTTATCTCATATTTTGTACCAAATGAGCAATATATAACTCACTTACCAACATCAGACAGTAATTCATTAGCTTAGCTACCTATTTTTTTTCAATAATTATCTAGATTTATGGTTTTAGCGTTTATACAGAGATTTTGTTATATAATTATTATACCAGGTGAGTCCTATATGATTAAATATCCTTATTGACACAGTTTGAGAGAAATTGAAGTTTTGTGTTCAAAAGATAACAGCTGAGATCTATATTATTACCCAACAAACATTCATATGACCCAAACCCATAATCTAGATGAATCTATTAAAATACTTACCAAATACTGGAACATATGTCACAATTCCACTTGGTATCACATAGTCGTTTTCCAGTACCGTAGTACACGGCTATACAGATAACAAATATGATCCTGTGCGCTGTACGCAAAAGATAGGCAAGGTGTTCCCACGTCTTCGATACATTTCATTGTACAAAACAATGAATTTGTTATATTCATATAAACCATAAAATAGTTGTTATACAGCTTATCTCTCGAATATATGGAGAACAAAATGGTTCTTTCACCGAATACCTCAAACGATAAACAGAGTAAGTATATGATATATAATTGTTCCTTCATTTTGTTGATGCTGGTATATTACATTAACTGGTTCAGCATGACCACGAAAATAATCAATAAATAATAAAAAAAGTTAATTATAAAAATGACACTAAGTGAGTGAAATAAAAATGTTCACAAACAGTTTCAAAATTCAGGAGCTAAACAGTTAAATTAAAAAAAAAGACATTCTGATGTCCTCAAAATACGTCTTGAAAAAGTGCTGAAATGTCCGTTAAGTTTCCATCTTACACAATATTTGGTTTCCAAAAATTCAAATGTCGATTGACTGATACATGCGTTACACATGGAATAACTTTTTTATCTGAATTGGATGTTAGGTACTAATTTATTTTTACAGTTATAAATTTTTTATATCTTTTTATGCGTAGTTAATTAAGTGTAATTCAGACTGTTGAGTTGAAAATAAACTACGTTCACACAGACTAGAGTGCGGTCGATCTCAAATGCAGTTGCAGGTTGGTTGGTTGGTTGGTAGACAAGTTAACGTCAACTTCCAGCTGACTATGAAGTTGTTGGTTGTTGTTTTATGGTCACAGAATTGTCAATTGTCACTTGTGAATCTGATGATCTGTGTCCCCGGTTTAATCCTGTTTAATAAATAGAGCATCTGGTTACGTCTTCGTATCCCATATACGGGTTGTACAAAGTCTTAGTAATCTGAGAGCAGTATGACGAATTGGGGCGTGGTTTGGGCACGATGGTAAGGTATCAAGATGTGTTGGTGTGAATGGTGCTTGAATACAAAGATTTGAACCCAATGTTCCTTTGTCAAATGAAAGAAAAAAAAATAAACAATTAAACAGTGTCTAATTACCGTGACAAACGTAGAAATATTAAATGATTAATTAACTAAAATATGATGAAAGAAATCATTACAGACATCAGAAAGGTAAACGGTTCTCGACCAGCCCGAAAAGTCATAAGATGGCTTTTAAAAATAAAATCCTGATGTGATTTTGAGGAGGTGGGAATCATGCCCCCTCCCATAAAACACCACTGCTTGTAACCGGTTAGAATAAATATAATATGTAGTCCGTGCTATTTTTAGAAATCCTCTTTCTCCTTCCCTTTTGGGGTTTATGCAAGCTAAAACAAGTGTTTACTATATGACAGTTTTTACCTCATTGCTCCTGCATGGCTCTGTCTCTCTTCATTTACCCACATGGTGCAGAAAAGTAGGACGTAAAACTCCATTATTTTCATTTAGTTATTTAATATTTTTTAATGCATAACAACATAATCATCATTTACTGGTCACATGTGGTCTATAGACCAATTAGCAAGTACATTTATG